GCGATAAGCACCAAGCCAATAGATAAGGTAATACTGTGCAGGCAACGTACCAATACAATCCCATCACGGTGAATCTCAAAACGGAGACAATACCAAAATACGCCGGCAGCTGAAGGAGGACAGTATGGTCACCATTTTGCTGGTGCTGAGAACTCTATACAAAAATCCGAACTGGCCCTAGGGCATGCGTCACCGTTCCTAAAATAGTCGGCCGGGAGCCGACCCCGCAAGGGTCACCATAGACCCTCACTGGAAATCAGCATCCAAAACAACAACTCTAGCTACCGACCTCCTCACCTGCTTGTATACCAATGAACAAGGTCTCCTCAACAAGCTACGCGAACTTCATATTCGTCAGGTCTCGCCGCCTTGTGACCTAGTTATGGTCACCGAAACGTAGCAGAACACGGAGATCACCGATGCTAAGATTTCTCTAACCAACATAAGTTCCATACAAATGATCGACCTAGCAGAGGAGGGGTAGTGCTCCCGTATTATCAATCAGATATGCAGCTTGATATTAGTGAGACCCATCACAGCAAGTCAACTACGCTCCTTTGTGTCGTATGCACATAAGACGGGATGATATGTGTTTACTAGCAATAGTTTACAGCTCTTCAATGTTTACTCTGGAAATGGATCAGTGTCTAGCTTCTGCAACGAAACGAGTCCTGACACGACCACCCAGTCACGTCCTTCTAGTGGGGGACTTCAACCTTCACAAAAATCGAAATCTCAGCATTGCATAGTGAACATTTTACGGCTGACTTGCAAGAGGTGATTGCCGATTTACCTCAGTACAGCCGCATCATCTCTTCCACGGGATCGCGAACGGGTGTCACACCCTCTGTTTTGGACCTTGTGCTGACCAGTGAGGAGATTATGAATAGTGGTCGACAATGGTCGACACCGTGACAATAGATTTATCATTTGGTAGTAGCGATCACGCGATGTTGCTCTTTCATTACATCTGTTACTCGAAGTGCTTTAATGAGAATAATATGGAAACCTATGTCGTTACACATTGCGATATATATATATTGTCAAACCTCGTTCAAGAAACCGACTGATCCTTTCTGGCCGAGCAGCTGTCCGATGTCGCTTGGGTGGTGTTTGCCACCCAATTCACCAAACTAGGGAAAATGCGTTAGGTCTTTCACCCGAAGCAAGTGAATTCATTCTTGAAGAGCCGTACTAGAAACTGCATGGGTTTAACGGATTTAGCGTGGCACGCTTACAAAGTCTGTCCAAGTAACCTGACCTCGGGTACTTACACAACTCAACGAAACCACTGCGTCAATCTTTCGATGCTATTTTGCGTGTGCACATCCCATTCCAACTTCAAACTATCGTTATGCAGTAGTGAGTTTAAAACTGTAGGAGATTAAAATGACGTCTTACTTATTCCTCGATCCTTTCACTTTTAAAGTTTACTTCATCTATTCAACGGGACGGAATAAGCACATGCTCTTTTATCCGTGATAAGTCATTGTTCATTTTTCAAAATTATGGAGTCATTCAACCAGGTTAGTCGAACACAGACTTCGTCAAGTTTTAGAGCCGTGAGATTTCATAGCGATATTTGAAAGTTGGCTGAGCTCTGTGGTTGTTGACTGTAAAAACACTGAAGTGGAAGCGGAAATGGATAATAACTCATAACAAATCAAATCCTCAATGCGTATTCATAGTGATCCGCAAACCACTGTTAATGAGTTAATTTGGTACCGGTTCTGTGCAAATGACAACAACAGAAACCTTCTCTACCTATTTACTAACCTTATGGATGCACTCCTCGAATGTACTACGGACTAGTACGTGCGCTGCGTGACGTGCTGAATCGAAAAAAGCATCCTCATTACGGGGAATTTTAATACCCATGATCCGCGTATGTCACTTATGCTAGACTTAATGCTCACCGGCGAGGAGTTTACGGCTGATTGTCTAGATGCATGCAGTCCTTTGGGTCAAAGTGATCATTGTAATCCATTATGCAACTATACCTGTATGCTTATTATCCTAATAAATTGCCCGAAAGAATGTATTCTATCACAATTTAGGAGACACTGTGTTAGGCGGCTGCAAAGAAAGAACTCCGTAACACCGTTTCGATACGTGAAGTGGGCCTAAGACAATTCACGCGGGAAGCTGATGAAATTAGTCGGTCTTCATGACACGGATTGTTATGTGGCCGGCATGAGCACGACTAGAATTGGCTAGTGGAAGCCGATAGCAGGTTTGGATATGTCTGAACAACTGACGTGAGTCAACGCAGGAAACGTGCAGTCGGAGATGATGGCATGTGATCTATATAATTCGCCGTGTTCTGTACCTAATACACGTCGATCTGCCACGTCTCGGTCCTCTGATTTTCCCTGACTGGATTCGCGGCGCAGAGAGCAGAGGCAAGAGCAGCGTTACGACAAACATTCAGCAGCTGTCCGAGAAACAATTTGGTATATCATAACTGATTGCGGCACGGAGGCATGAGATGCAAAATTCTTAACTAAATTCATCATCATTGGTTGCGAAATCATCATGATCGAAAAATATCACCGTTTTTGCAAATAGATGGACTTTTTAAAATCAGCAGAAAGGTTTATAGTAAGAAAGATTGCATTTGGCGAGTTTATAAAAAGCCTCTCAACTCAGAAAGTTGGAGTATAACACAAATACTATATGTCGCTGGTTTGTGTAGTTATGTTTATATGATAGGTTCAAACCAATTAACTTTTACAGACCTGTCAACTGCCTACGTAAAGCTTGGCGCGGAATCTCGCCACTCTCTACATCTGGTTGGTGTGGGCATACGGCGAGCGATATGGCCAATGACTAACCTGTCTAGCGCTTATGCACCTTCAAGGTGATACCAAATTCGAACATTTCTCCCGCTTTTTCTAATCCTGTACTTCGCCAGCAGATGCAATCGGCGTCGTTTTTACTACAAAACTTTGATAAGGAATATATTTTCCTTGCATATGCAAATTTTTCTAGAGGGGTTACAGACCAAACAATGCTGCAGGCTGCATCCATGCATCTGGCCTCACCTCTGGTTATATTCATTAAGCATACTAAGTGCGGCTCAGAAACGCTCATTCCTGTGCTCATCATGGTCAACATGCTAATCATCACAAACGCATCGATGGGTACTTGGAATGCTACGGTGTCATCCCACCGGAGCAGTATGGTTTTCGTCAAAATTTAGGATGTATTACGGACCTGCTAATTACACGTGGCAGCCTGACGGTACTCTAACTTTTCAATAGCGTTTGATTTCTTGTCTTATTATATCCTCTTACAAAAACTTCAGAAATATGTCTCGCATATAGCTGTAGTTGTCGTCATGAACAACTATTTGAGTCCACCCCATTCGAGTCGAGTATGACATATCGTAAATTTCGACAATTAGACATCGCTTGTTATTAGTCGGCATTAACGATCTCGCAGAAGTCAGAAGTTAGCCCCACGAGCCAGGAATTTTCGCGTAGCGACTGAGGACGATACAACACTTAGAAGCTGCTAGCATCCGCAAGTCATGGGATCCGAACCCATCAGCTGTCTGAGGAAGTCACATCACTGAGCAGACCCAGCAAGTTGAAACAGCGCTTTTCCAGACGCGCCAAAGCATGCTTATTGAGAGTAGACTGTACTGAATTACCCTGAAAGTATGAAAAATTCTCACTACTCGTTAGTGTTCTATCAGAAATTATTATCTCAAAGTCCTTGCGAAAGATCTCAAGATTTCGTGGACGATCAACTAGTTGGATATACCCCAGGTCCTGTGGCGAGACCGTGGTGGAACTATGGCTGGTCCACGTAAAATGCAAATTCATGAAATGCGGATAATTGCCGAGTTGCTGACATTCCCAACTGAAGCTTAGCTATATAAGCTTGGATTGCACCACCTGCGAACAATCGCTCAGGAAATCGCCGTTAGAGAGTAACCAAAATTTTTTAAGTCAGTTTGAATTCGCTTCTAATAGCGACAATCAGCATGTTAGTCCATTGCGGAGGGCACTAGGGTATTTGAATTTCCCATATTCTCTACTGCACAATACCTGGGAGTATACTTTGATCGAATATGCTACTCAGGCTTAGTAATCTTGGCCAAATTGTAGCCTCGCAACACTACAAACCTCACAACATCGTACTGCTTTATGTAAAACTATTGGTATGGTTAATGTCATCTCTTTGCATACACTAATCCGTTGTCCTTTCACCTTTTGGCTTGATCGTATATGTGCTCATTTTCTTTAGCAATCTAGTCCATGGACAATAAACGAAAACTGTTAAACAAGCTACATTTTACTCGCCATAAAATATTGTTGCATTGTTCCATGCTGCCACCTAGGTTTTCTATCTGAAAAGACGCTAAGGCGAAAATTGTGTTTGTACCCTTCCTCATCCGGTGGAGCGACAAAAGTACGCAGCTCATGTTCTTCATCTGGAATCCTCCGCAGGTTACACTCCACTTGTCAGTCAAGAGTGTCTGGATGTAAGATGCAGTGATTAAGACCGTCAGATAGGTGAAAAATGATCAGCCTACTAGCCACCATGTTCTGCCGTGGCTGGCCCAAAAGCAGTGCACATAATTGACCTGAATTATTAGGGTAAACTGACCGTACAATGCTTTCTAGGATGACGCTCGGGCCAAGCGGGTACGGCAGTGATCAGTTCCATTCATTCGATTTTATTCTCCTGTGTTCTGACGCACAACAAGTGTGCCTGCTTTTGTGTATGGGCGTGAATCTTCGCATCGTCTAAACTCCAGTTCATCGGCCTATTTCCACACCTTAGCAAGGGGTTGTGACGTGTGCGTTCACACGGCCAATGTTTGTGCCCACTAGACATAACTTGCTGTCCTAGTTGGCAACCATAACCACTGAGTGAAATATACACACCGGATGTTTATCGTATGTCAAAGTTACCGGCTATCGCCAGCTGCCTATATTAAGGTAAGATGGCACACCGGTTATCACTGCGCTCGTTCCGGCTACTTATCCATGACGTATGCACCATTGATCAGCCTCATTCTTACTATGTGGTTAGCCATTATTTGGTGAGTAACTAAAGCAGCTATCACATGTAAATCATTCTGTTGTAGTTGCGTACCATTTGACAGATCTGATGAGGAATTGGTAAGATTTACCCATGAACATTGTATCATCCATTTTGCTTTTCTGTGAATAGCGTTGGAAATGGACTCGTCTCATGGAATCAATCCGGTCTCCTAAAGTCAAAGGTATACAGGAGGTACAGAGTGAAGTCACTCGCAATGAGAAACAAGGAGATATTAATACTGAGTGGAAGCGAATACCATTGGATGGTAACTTCTAGTTGAGACGATGAAAGCTTTAGTTATAAAAGATTTGGATGAGAGAGTGAGGACATACCTTGCAGATCGGCGACTCGAATAGGAGGGCAAGTGTTTACGACGGTTTTCTTTGCTCTAAAAGTGGCCACTTAAATCGGCCGCGTGGGAATCCTACCACGTCCTCTGCATCTAAAACTATGTATCTTCTGCTTGGTCATTCTCAGTTACAGGAGCGATTCCACTGGTAAATAATATCGTATACACTTGTACAGTCTATATTATATTTCCCACACTTATGAGGTAAACTTTTTATTGCTATTTTTAGCTTGGGCATTCGGTCATTAGGATAATGTCCAGTTGACTATGTAAGGTGCGGAGGCCCAATCTGCTACTGAATTAATTGGAACCCTTTGTCAATATCTGTGTTGACAAAGTTTAGTAGGCTTGGTGGTTTGTAACCATGCATCCAGTGGAACACCGAGTAGTTAAGTTTTGTGGCGAGAATATTAGGCGGGATTTTGGAAACCACACCTCCTATAAAATGTAATTACAAAACATCCACTTTGTAAAGTTCACACCGATGTTAATGAAGGCTAAGCAAATACCGGTGCTGCAGCCGAAAGGAAATGCATTTCAACCGTTGTTACACAAAGTTACCTCCGCCGGATGATTAACGTGCACTTTAGGAAATGCACCACAATTTTGCTATCAAGGACTGCAAGCCTGTAAGCAGTGAGATCAAGCGGTACGTGAATGTTTGGTTTGTTGGCTTTCGATTGCTGCAAACCGCGTAAAAGTTGCGATTTTCCAATCAATACTGACTTTTCTTCCTCGTCAGTAGTTGTTTAGGAACAAATAGAAGCCTTGCACCAATTTTATCAGGTAGGTATCTACTGATTGCTTCCGACACCCAAGCTCAGAAGCTTCAAACATTAGTTTGCCGCGGTAATAATCTGTATAAATTGAAGCCCAATCATTCTCAACTTATCTGGTCTACCAAATACGAGACGCCGTGTTCCTCGTTTTAACTCTGCTCACGCACCATCCCTCATCTCTAGGTCCATTTACACGAAGTACCAGAGGTGCTTGGATTCTGCCCATTCCCTGTCCACACCCAATTAGTGATCATTCCAAGCTTCATAGCAATGCATGTGGGTCAGCTTTACAGCTAGGGGAAGAAGTCTTAATGCGGTCATCTATTACCCTTTGGGAAGTATTTCTGACGGACAGTGGAAAACTTCCAAGCTAAAACCATAGGTAATTTGTGCGAAATTCTATTACAAATATAGGTTTAGCTGTGGTTCTTGGATCGAGTTAAAAGTGAATAGGGCTTGAATGTCAACAGTAAACATTTGTGAAGTAGCCGTTAACACACTCACATATTTTGGAAACCTGTATCTAAATGGCTGTGATCAGTTGATCGGTTCCAACGGCTTACCCATAATGGCTGCTTTTCGTAGACATAGACTCTCAATAGAGACAAACGATGTTGACAAGCATGCGCATCACGGAAAACTCAGTTGTGGGGCACGTCGGGCATACGTGCAACAGAAAACATAGATTGCATGTTGGTTACTAAAGAAACTGAGTACGAAAAGTATGAATACTTTAGGTTGTGGAATACGTTTTAAATTACGTTGACGCCTACCCATCGAGCCGTTGGGTGTTGTAGCACCTATTCTTATGCTGTACAATTGCCGCCATTCGTCCGGGGTAAGGTTCCTGAGGCTGCCAATGAATGACACGTAATTCACAAGTTCATTAGTTCCGGATTTGGCCAGATTACCCAAGCTGCATCCCCGAAGGCTGGTCGCTACTTCAAGGGCATCCCAAGTATGTGGGTGAGAACGGAAGAAAAGTATAGTTTCATTTTCCGTAGGTCCGTTATTTCGGATACCGCTTAGTCATCCGATACTTGAAATGGGGAAAATTTAATCGTGCGCGTAGAACTTTAGGCAAACAACCAACAGCTACATTTTCCTGACTCAATTTAACGGTGACATATTAGACCTTTTTTAGAAAACAGCTGTAAGTGTGAAGTAGATGACAAACTAGCTTGCTCTTCGATAGCATGAATTTTCATTCCAAACAAGAAAGATTATCAAATTCTTGGAAGATACTTGGAACCGATTGTTTCCAAACCTCTCTGAACTCAAGAAAGATTATGTTTGGATACATCAAAGCCGCAGTCTGAAGCAGATGTTAGTAAACATGCTGCGTCTTATCCTCGGGTAACACATTATGCGAAACTACATGGTCTGAGCATACACCGGTCTGGTTGTTTATTGTTGCTCTAAATGGAAGCAGTCTAAGTCATGCTCTCTAATCACTGCTGTAGTTGTGACTGACCAGGGTCTCCCATCTATTAGGATGCTGCATTTAATTACTCAAAGTATTTAAGGCCCTATGATTTGACGTGTATCAGAATTTAGGGAGGTGATTATTCTTGATTACAATGATATAGTTGCTATATGAAAACCGAATGTGAGCAAAGCTACCCGACAGACGCAATGAGATTCGGTGACGCATATTTGTTACTGCCACTGTTATCTCCACAATACCTATTCAACCGATGTTGCCATCTTGAGTAGCTGCTTACTCTATCTATGGTGAATGATTTTCGTGACACTGCGGAGATCAAAGAGTACTTGGAGAATGGACCTTCATGTAGCTCAATTATCGCCTTGTGTACGGCCGACATTTACGCTTCAAGCACTCTCCTCTTAATGACGTTCATGTTGAAGATGGATTAGCTGACATGGGACTAGTCGCTGCTGCCTTCCAAGGGGCTTTTTGTATTCCTGCTTCAGATTTACTTTAGAACTGTGATGGGTGGCTGGAAAGGTGAGTCGTTTAGCGCAAGGCACCATGGTATATTTTTATGGGCAGGTAGCCTGTGGTTGTCCGTACACATAAGAACGGTTAAACCCAAAAATTTCTCTCTGTCCTGTTAAGCTTACCACTTTCTACACCAGCGCTAAAACATCCATCGGCAGTACATCGTCAAGTTGAATCGGTATTTCCCTACCACGCGGTCACCAATATCGCATGCTGGCTAGGAGCACGAGGAAGCCATCATCCCTAGATTAATCATGTACCAGACTGAACAACATAAGCCAGACTGCGCAGGACCTACGATTCACGTCATCAGCCTTACTAATTGAATCAGTCCTTTTGAGAAATGGTTAGTTCAGCATGGAACCAATTATGCACAAATAGTTCTCTCACGCAAGTGAAGGCCATCTCAAACCAACAAATCCGTAATCCAACCAGGCGAATGAATGACGCTGTCAGTGTTGATGTAAAATAATGACTGACAACCTTTGTTTAGGTTTTGCGCGCCAAGCGGATGTTTACAGGTCGCTGATGTCTATTGCATCCATTTGTAAACAGCTTATTACCCGTTAGGATTGGTTGAAAATACTCGTAGATGGACAGAGAAAACCTAAGAGTTCACTTATGATGAACGCGTGGTGAAAAGCCCTATTTTAGAGCTGTTTATTTGTTTAATGGGAATCCATGACCTATGGCAAGCAAGAAGTCAAACGCTTAGCAAGTGTCACAGGATAATCAAGGAGAAACTACTAGAATCAGCGAGAAGTAGGCTAACTAGTTTGAGTGCTCACGATTGAACTCACCAAAATCCAGCCAACGTTACCGATTTCAAAAACGCACGCTACAGTGGTTTTCTTCGAGATGCGCCACCATGCCCTTCGCAACTGAGTCAATAGAAGTACCGACAGATTTGTGGGAACACTATGAACGCTTCCAGTTGGGAACGATACAATACGGGTAGTATATTGCATGCTTGGCATGCCTGGAATAATGCCGGTTGTGTTAAAATACACCGTAGTATTGAACTTTTATCTCAGGATTGTCAAAATACCGCGGCGAACAGGCAATATGACGTGCATACTCGGTTCTTTTTAACGTAAGCACATGTAAACACACGCAGGAATAGAGATTCGGGGAAAGTCGTCCGGTGAAAAGTTCAATGCAAGGAATGTAGACAATATGCATTTGTGCCAGTGACTACTTGACCGCTCACCGTTTTATTAACTAGGTTGCGATCATTATATGGGATACAGAATCTTTGCTGTTTCCTATTTTCAAAACTGCTCTCGACTATCGACTGATTAGCATCATTCTGTTATGTTACCTGAATATAATGTATGATCTAATTAGATGCGGTTCATAATCTAGCATAGAACATTGTTGTTTATTTGACATAGGTTATAGAATTATTAGGTGCTTTCGAGTAATTCTTAGACGTTTGCCGCAATGCACAAAGTCGGCTAGTTTACTTGAGAGCTGCGACTAAATCTCCAAATACTGCGCGAGTAAATCCCACGATATTCCACAAACGCGTCAGCGACTTAAGCTGGTGGATTCGACAAGAGTCGAAAATCCAAAATGCTCCTACCGATCCGTAAAAATGGTTATCGACAGCGCTACTTTATTGCGTCGTTTTGGAACATTGATTGTACAATGATGGACGTCGTTGTCAAGTATATCCACACATATTGGTGATGAACGTAGCATGGATTCACGTTGCATCGCATCCAGAAATCGGTCGTAAACTTACCCCGTCGTCGTTCATAACTATGAACAAGATCGTTGACTCGTAGGAGGTAGTTCATTGGCTTGATTCTCTAGGTACTCTAACGAGAAACGTACCAGTGAGTCCGGTAACATGCAAAAACTGTCCGACTCTCCTTTGGAGGCATAGCAATAGCCGCATTTCATCTGGTTACGATAAATCCACTTAAAAGCTAATATTGTTTTAGCGGATAACCAAAACCTCATTCATGTTCTAATGTGGTGTTGGAGATGCAGTATTCAATGAGGACTTAATTATTAATGGTAAAAGCATCCGATGCATCTCGTCAGATCAAGACTGAATACGGTCAAGCGCGACGTATTCGTGTCGTCCATTGGATGGCTTTTGTATTTAGCACAGCTAACCAGCGTGTCAGCGAAACAACCACCAATCAAAACACTAGTAATACCCAGTCAGTTGAAGTATTTCTAGGTTTTAAGCCACCGAATGATATTGGGAACCCTACACACCAACCCGGAACTGCCTCATGGCCCGTGTTCACC